ACAGGACTGTTGTCAGTGTTGACATTTATTCGACGTGCCACCCTGGAGCTATTTCCTAGACTGTGGTCATCAAACAGGACCTGAAGTCCAGGTGTTACTGAAGCTGTGGATCAACTTGCTATATCTTCCTGAAGGAATCCACTTTAGTCACTGGTTTTGGGGGGAAATCACTTTTATATTCTAACAAACATAGATATGGGTTAATATTAAATTTTACATACGTTTTATATTATTAATAAGGCATGCAAAATAATTACATGATTGTAATGCGATGCTTACATACCCTAAATGCCCTAGATCTTTCTCTTCTTCTTTTAGAAGGACTTTGAAAACAAGGTTCAAGAAGCATCATACTACACCGTTAAGTTGAAGTGAAGGGAAAGAACTAGGTTATAGCTACTGAAAGTAGAGAAATGTTTCTAAAACACAAAGGTCAGTTCCATAGCATAGGGAAATGGACCTATCCAAGATGCTATTGACATTGTGTATATTTAATACATATGGGAAAATATAATATCTCATACACATACTCCAGCCATAATGTACACATATATGTTAAAGCCGTGTTTAGAAAAGTCGCATGTAAAATCAAAATCATCCCTGTTTCACTTGAAAACAAGAAGAAAATACTTTTCAAAACTTTTTATAATTGAGAAAGAGAGAGAGAGAAAGAGAAAGCAAAAAGCAAACAGGCAAGAGCAAGAAAAAGGAAGAAAAAGTACATCACTTCTCTTTTCTCAAGGGGAAAAATTCCACAGGCTTGTTAGTGTTTGGCACCCAATTTCTCGCTCAGCAATCTGAATCCGTGAGCTACAGTCTTCACGGATGAGCGCATCAACCCGCTTTTGAATTAGAGGATAGCATTACTCAATTAACTCTGAGACTAGCCCTTTCAAGAAATATATTTAGCTATGGCACACACTATTTCAATTCTATAATGAGAATGTCAACTGTAAAACTAAATTTGAAAGTTCAGTTGTTTTTCTCTCAGCCCCTCCCATACTTACCACAAATTTGAATAATATGAATCCAGGAACCATTTAAATAAATATGGTGTGCATTCCAGGTTATGTGGCAAATCTTATTGCTTTAATTACTTGGAATGTGTCAACGTATAGGCCTGACACACACAAGTAAGGATATCTATATCCTACATGTCATGTTTTAGGACTTTACCCTTAGCCAGCGGATAGAAGACGAAATGGGCTTTGGAATCGTGGTTCTGTGCTTTGCAGTAACCCCACAGTGCTCACCGTGCTGAGTCAGAAAGCCCCCTAAGTCAACAAGCAAGCTCACCAGAAGACAGAGCTGCAAGGTAAAATCAGAAGAAAGAAGAATCTCCCAACACAAAAGACCATGGAAATGCAGCCAGGTGTGTAAAATACTGCCCTATGTGCACACCCCCCCCCCACATGCTTTATCCGTATTTCTTAGTAATTGAGACATTATTAAATTTTGCCTACAAGGACACTTCTTTGGTCAACTCACCAAGCAAAACACTCTGGTTAACGTGAAATTCTGTTTTAAACATAGAAGGCACATATATTACCTGGGATTAGAAAGCTGTCTACCACAGAGCAGAAGCACTTTCAAATTTAAGGGTGTTAATTTATTAATGACATTAACTTATTTCTGGCTGTTCTCCCAAGATTTCCAAGATATAAGCCATGAGAAGTATTGTTCTGATCATCAGTTGTCAAGCTGTAATTGACATTATCCAGACTTTCCATTTAAGGGAAAGTGTGTGTGTGTGTTTGGGGGGGGTGCTGAGTAGCAATAGAGAACCTTTGTCTTGTAAGATTTCTGACTTTTACTGAAAACCACTTGAATGTAAATATATCTTGTATGTTTCACTAAATAACTTACAAGTTAAAATAAACATTACTCAAAAAATTATAACATAATCTAACTCTTGAGCACTTGCACTTGCTATGTGCCAGGTGCTGTTCTAATAAACTTGTGTGTAATAACTTATTCAATCCTAACAACTCTTTGAGGTAGGCACTATTATACCCTTTTTATAGTTGAGGAAATTGAGAAGTTAAGTAACTTGCCAAAGTTCCCAAGTTCACACAGCTAATCAAGTGCAGGTTTGGGAGTCAAATCTAACAACTCATGCTTTCGACACCAGGCTACGCTACTCTCTCTGTTAGCAAATGGACAAGATGGTCTTATTTACCCCAAACTCAATTTGGTATTGAGTGTGGGGAAAGTGGATGGGAGAGGTAAGATCTGAGGCCTCTGAAACAATTCACACGGACCCAAATCAAACCAGAGCCACTCAGCTTCTATCCGTCCAAGATCCCAAGCTGGCTCCCCCAGGAATACTTCCCGCGCTGGGTGTTTAGAGAGAAACACTTAGTTTGAGCCTGTGAGAAGATCATGTCCATTTTTGGGAGGCATATGAATAAGTGAGGAGCTGCAGTTACATTCTTGCAGACTTAAAAAAAAGAAGTTACTGATACGACTGATACAGCCAGTATAATAGGAAGGTGAACATGTGGTATAATGAATAGGCAAAGACATTATATTTACAAAGGTTTATAGAATAAACTTGATAGATATGAAGTACTCTGTGGTTGTTTTCACTAAACTGTGGGTAAAGGTTTCAGAATTCTCTCCCATGCTTAATTCAAACCAACAGTACTTTGAAATGTGAGGTGTGGTTACAAGGTCTCAGGAGAACAGTCTAATGTTGAAATAGGAAAACACTGTGCATGAATGACAGACAAAAGACAACTGTTTAAAGGCATGCGGTCTATCATTGTCATTTTAACCTGAATGAAAAGAAATACAAGTGACAGAATGTAATAGTCTACAGAAGATTCATTAATTAAAAAACCATAGGATTTTAGAGTTAGCAAGGGCCTTAGTGAACAAATTCAACTTCTGCATTTTACATAAATAAAACCGAGGTCATCAGAGCTTGTAGTCTGTGCGCAGGTGTTAACCTCAGCTGCGGGGAGAGTATACGGAGTGAGAAGACAAGAGGATGGTACGTAGGGCCCTGGGAACCCTGGTATTTGAGAGGTGGGCCCGTGAAGGCAGCTGGTTAGGGACAAGTGTCATGCCCTGGGAGCCTGGGAAGAAAGAAGTTTTAGAAAAAATAAGTGATTGTGCTGAGTGATAACAAGAAGTCACAGAAGACCAGAACTGGGAAATGTTCATCATGTTTGTCGGCTATTGATCAATAGCGACCTTGGTAAAAGCAGTCTCTGTAGCATGTCTGCCATGCTTTAAGCAATGAATGGGAGATTAAAAAAAAATAAGTTAAGACAGGGCAGGGCCTACATTCAATAAGCTTGGACAAAAGAAAAAGATGGAGAAGTGTACGAAGAAATGATTAAGAAAAGCGATGGGTGGAAATGAGGAAAGTAACTGAGATAATACCTGAAACAATTCTGGGGGGACACAAAGAAAACTAGGGTCTAAGTTTAGGCTGCTGAGTTCGCTTGATGGGAGGTACACAGTTTGCTCTGAGATGAATAGACATACAGCTAAGTGGTTCTCCCAACTGATTTTTTTATTTTTAACTTTCCAAACCATGTGGAACTTATTTTGATAAATGACATAAGGGTAATAGATCGCCTTCCCTTATTGCCTATGACACATTTTGAACGAATGAATAATAAACAGTCAGCCCCTGGCTTGACCCTTCAGTCGCCAAGGACTTAGATGAACACAGGCCTTCCCACACACTCCCTTGCCTCCAGCCTCCACTCACTGGCACAGCTTCCTCCTTCTCCAGATCCTTCCACCAGCTACAGAAAATAGGCTCTCATGCCCAGGAAACTGAGGACATTAATGGGGAGGAGTTAAACTATCTTCAATCTCATCTCCAGAACGCTGGCAGTTTCTCAGCCTTGCCAACTATCTATTTTCTTTGCTTGGTTTCTGCCAGAGGCAAGAGTAAGCAGCAAGTAAAAAAAAAAAAAAAAAAGAGTGACATCAGATAAGATTAAAAGAAAAAAGAAAGCCATAGACTAGGGAAGATTTACTGCTGAAATTAAACCAGAGAACAGGCGAGGAAAGAGAGGTGGGTCACAAAATTAAAAGCTGCACATGTGTGTTTGTTTAAGATTATGTGGATTACCTATTGTATTGGTTGATCCAAATGGGTTTCCCTCTGCACACGCCCTCCTCCCAGAAAAGTCCTCTCCTAAGAACCAAAAGCTCCATGTGCAAAGTCATTCATGGGTTTTTTCTCTGGTAAGAGATCAAGGCAACATTATCTGAAAAGCCATGTAGCCCTCACATTTTAGCAACACCTACTTTAGCATTCTTTAATTACAAGATCTGAGATATGTTCTTCAAATTGGATTAGATACATTGTCACTTCCACCATTCTACCCTTAATTTTGAAGGTCTGTAAGCTGTCTCTCAGGTGGAGAATAAATAAGCCTTTATAACTGTGTGAGAATTTTCTAATGTGAGCCAGAATTTGATAATTAAATTCACCCCAGAGGCCCTGGCAATAGTCGCCTTGCTTGGTCACTCTAAGTTCTCACCAGTCCTCCCCAATTTTAGAAGTATTGGACAACAATGCAATTCTGTTTCTTATAAAAATATATTTATTCAACAAGCACTTATTAAGCATCCAACACACCCTTGACATTGGGCTGGTTGCTGAGAATATTAAGATGAATGAGATATAAAATTGGCCCCTTAGGATTTCATATAGAGAAAAAAGCAAATAGATTTTTAATTTCCGCAATCTGATTTCTTTAGAGGTTTGTTTAATATCCTTCCTCAGAATACAAAGACCTATGATACATCCATTGCCTTATGTATTATCAACAAAGCTACTTTTTCATGAATAAGCAAAAGAGCACATAAAACTTGGCTATGCAGAATTAAAGCTTCAGATAAAGAAAAAGAGACTTCATCTAAAAGAAAAATACCTGGGAATATGAGAAATGCCAACCACCCTCCTGCCCAATCCCAGGAGGAAATAACAAAGACACGCACACACACGCCCCAACAACCACCACAAAACTTACCTGACTTTCCCACGCCTGCTCTTCCGAATATTGCCAACTTGACCTCTGCACTTTTAGCCATACTGGGTGGTGGTAGACAGCTCACTGTCGTTCAAACTAAAGAGCTAAGAAAATCACTTCGGTTCCAGCCTTTGGGTTCACCATATCATTGCAAATCTGCAATCCTTAAACAAAAGAGATTTGGGAATTCATAAGTGACTGGAGAAATTAATATTTATTAAGTATCTCTTCTATGCCAACCACCATTCAACTTTATCAGCATTTTCTATTTTGACCTTCACCGCAATCCTGTGAGGAGACTGTAGTAATTTACCGTGAACTATTCAACTATTAAATGACAGATCCAGGACTTGAACGTTGGATCTGTTTTGGTTCTAAAACATGCATATTTTCACTCACAATAGCATTGTCTAAAGTACTTCTTCAAAGAATATTTTCATGAAGGCATTGTTTTATTGTCAGTAATAGAACAAATATTTGAAGTATGTGACTACATGTGTTTATGGTGTGTCTGTAAACATCCAAGATGCAAATGTATGTGATGGGAGAGTCACATTTGGAACTCTTTATCTATTATTTCCCTTTGGGCCAAATGATATACATTCATATTAGTCAATCCCAATGTAATACGATTGAATTGGCATTTCAAGGTTTAAATTTTATCTCAGTTCACACTAGATGACATGATCAAGTCATGTGATAGATACACATGTTCCAAGAATTGATATATGATATCTAGATCATATTTTAGTATTTTTCTGAGCCCAATGGCCTGATACCCAAAAAGAAATGCCATGCCCTGACTTCTGATTCCTTTTCTATGATGACTTAAAGTAAATTAGTTTATGGTATTGTCCTAACACAGGAAATTATATTACATACAACGAAAGCACATTTAATAAGAGGTAAGGGGGATGCTTTAGAAAAGACACCTAGGTTCTTAGTACCATAGAAATGCAAAGTCGAAAAGAGCCTTGGGGTAAACCAAAGAATCCTCCAGCCATTGCAGGAATCCTTCCTTATGGTCAGACAACCATCCAACAACCATCCTGCGTCTAACTTACCACTCTCAGGTGTGGAGGGGAAAGGGCAGCATTAAGTCAGACTTTTCTTTCACTCAGGACCCTTCAAGTAGCCCAGCAGCTATGAGGACCTTTTGTCCCACCTTAGGCTCCACTTTCTAGGTAAAAGAGGGCTAGCATCTTCCCTTGCTTGTCATTGGATGTAGGGTCTAGTTTATGTTCTTTTGGACTCTCACCTTCCCTCCTCACCATATGCAGCTCTCTCCTCTGACACTTGCCATTTTAATCACTCTAATAATGTGGCACCCACTGCATTCCCCATTTGAGATGTGACCTCACAAAACTGACCCAATACAAGTTCATTGAGATTTTCCCTGTTCCTTATCTGGGCACTGTGGTTGTATTGCCACACAGGCACTCACATCTTCTACATGAGCTGCAGACTTCCCCATTCTGAACTTGCACTGCCGATGTCTTAAACCTAAATACAAGACTTCACTTTTATACTTGTTAAACTTAATCACACCCATCTTCATTTCATCCAGTTTTCCAGTCTGTAAAGAGAATTCTGAAACACTAACCTGTTATCTAAATGTGTAAACTGCTCCTGCCAGCGCTTTATCATCTACAAATTTCCCAGAACAGCTTCTCCAGTGAAAGATAAAAGTAAAAAAAGTAAAAATCCTCTGAAAAAGTATTTCTCTGACATCAATATAATTGTTTTCTTCATTATGCATCCAAAGCATCAACCTGTACCTAATACATTTTGTATTTGTTGGTTTCCAAAGTGCCAGAGCTTCCTCTGCAGGCTGGAAAGGTCAAAAGGAACAATAGCTATTGCTTCCTTCATCCCCAGTGATGAAAAAACTTCTTAGTAATCATTGATAGTACCAAACCAGAAGCTTTAACATCTGTAATTTGTCCAGTCCCACTCTTTGGCAAAAGATAACAGGATGTTCTTATTTTAACTGTATATGCATTCATTAAGAAGAGGCTCTGCGTTTAGTGCTTCATCACATAAGTTTCACAGAAGCATAATATAAAAGATGCATTAACCATGTAAATTCTGTACAAGAATGGCAAGCATTTCTTTGAAACATAGACCATGCAAGTGTCTGGAGCCTGTATAAACCACAATTTGTTATTTCAGGCAAAACTGTTCATTCCCATGCACAGAAAATCTATGCAATTACTTATTGGATTGATGCATCATGAAAGTAACCATCAAATGTGTTTTAAAAAACAAACAAACATTTGTTAAGTCAAATATTTCAGTAACTACCAAATGGCCTCAGGGGAATAGGATTTTCACATAAGAAAGAGAAACTGTTGGGATTTTTTTTCATTTATAACCTAATAAAGACACAGCTGGTTATAGTCAATCTTATGTCATGTTTAAAAAAATGACTTAAAGACACAAAATGAGATAGGTCCTTCAATATTTTATTTCTCTCATAAAAATGTAAAAAGTTACATTTGACAAAGTTAGAGAACAAAGATAAACGTGTACATGGTAATAAGTGAGCTGTTGCCAAATTTCTGATGTTCAAAAGAATTCATAAACTAAGACAGTCCATAACATGGGTCTAAAAAAACATTTGTTTTAATGTGGTTGTGCAGAAATATTCTGGCAGGGCCGAAAAGCTGCCATTCACTTTTTATATAGACCATGCTTAATTAGGACAAAAACTGAGTTCCTAACACTCCTAAAGCTAAACTCGCACATAGATATTTGAGAGGTTATAGGTTTGGTGATTTTTTTCTAAACCTAAAAGACCTAAAAGAAAACTTAGAAAGAAGGAAAAAAAAAGATAACCTCCAAATCCTATATTATTAATGCATTAATCGATTCATCCCACACTTACGCTAAGCATAGACAGACAGAGTGGCCACCTTCCGGGAGTTTACAATTTGTCAGACTTATGACATTTGGGGCACTAATAACCTTATTTAAATAACGTGTAAAGAAAGGTTTCATTCATAATCAATCATTCCCAAGACTACTTGTCAAGGCCCATGCTTCCCACTTCCTCTTGGCTTTAAAAAAAAAGCCTCTTTAAAGGTAATCGTTTTTCTAACGAACTTCTGTATTTATCATCAAAATAAAGTGCAGCTGTTCAGGAAAGCAAGGCATTCAGCCCGGCCGTGGGAATGAGACTCGCCTTGGGCTGCCGCTGCTCAAGCTCTGAAATCGACTTTTCCTCGGCTCATCCCCGGGAATTCTCCCCCGTCTGGGGGCGCAGCACCCGCAGCGACGGGAACAACCGTGCAAGGCCCCGGCCAGGGCGCGGCTCCGGCCGCAACAGGTAGCCCGGGGCACACGCAGCCCCCGGCGCCGCAGGCCACTGGCCCGCAGCCGAGAGAGGAGCGCGGCCGGAGCCCAAAGGCGTCCCC